GCCTTCACAGCCTCCTGTGGCAAGGAGTTCCACAGGTTGACTATTTGCTTTGTGAAGAAGAACTTTCGTTTATTAGTTTGAAGCCTGCTACCCATTAATTTCATTTGGTGTCCTCTAGTCCTTATATTATGGGAACTAATGAAGAACTTTTCTTTATGCACCCTCTCCACACCACTCATGCTTTTATAGACCTCTATCATATCTCCCCTCAGTCACCTCTTTTCTAAGCTTAAAAGTCCCAGATCTCTTCATATAGGACCTGTTCCAAACCCTTAATCATTTTAGTTGCCCTTTTCTGAACCCTTTCCAAGGCCAAAATATCTTTTTTGAGGTGAGGAGACCACATCTGTACACAGTACTGAAGATATGGCGTACCATAGTTTTATACTTCCCCTCCTCCTTCTTCTCCTGGCTTCCGCCTTCTAGCTCCCTCCTCCCAGGTTTCCACTTCCCCTCTCCCACCCTCTCTCTTCCCCTCTCCCACCTCCTTTTCCCAGTCTCCCCAGAGGTTAATCCCTCCCCAGTTTTGTTAAATAAAGAGAGTTTCTATTTTTGAACACACGTGTCCTTTATTTTTTACATCAGGAAGGGGGGCTAGGGAAGGGTAAGTGGAAGGAGGCGAGGGAGGAATGGGGCACGAGCCCCCAATGGGGAGGACTGGGGTGGCTCTGCAGGCTCCTCGGGGTGGAAGTTCTCCTGCAGCCCCTCGATTGACCCCCCCTCCCCGGATGTCAGCCTGCGGCAAGTGCAGCTGGGCTGATGGCCGAGTGCTGTGATGTGCCAAGTGTGGGCACTCAGGGCAGTCCAAGACAGGACTGTTTTGCTGTCCCTCATCAAGGTAGATAAGCAAGCGGAGAACCCTGAGAACTGTCTGTCCGGGGTGGGGTTGGGTCCCTTTAAGGACAGCCCTCGGCTAGCCTGAGGCAGCAGCTCCGCGCTCTAAGTCCTGGTTCCGGCCAGCTTTAACTTTGGTTCAGGGTCCACTCAATGTGGGCATGCTATTTCGAAATAGCAAAACTCTAATTTGAATTAGTTTTTAGGTCTAGATGCACTAATTCGAATTAGCTTAGTTCGAATTAACTAATTTGAATTAAGTTAGTTTGAATTAGTGCTGTAGTGTAGACATACCCCCAGCTAACAGCCTCCCTCCCATGCAAAGTCACAAGCCCCATTCCTCATGGCCCAATACAGCTCTGGGAAGCAGTGATACTATGTCCAGCTCCAGCTTGTCCTTCTCAGGCGATTCCTCTTTGGCACAGGGCTGCTCCTGGTTCCTCCCCTGGGGTGTCCCCAATCCCCTCTATCCCTGCCAGGCTCCATGCTGGTTCTTGGCTGTTTCACTCTGTGAGAGCCTGCTTGCTGTAGCCTTTCTTGTCTGGAGCTGCCAACTTTCACACTGTAAATAAGCTCCCTGACTTTCACAATAAGCCAAAAATCAAGCTAAAACTGTTCAAAGCAAGGCCAAGATAAGCCAGTCCCTAAAAGAACCCCGACACTCTAATGTGATCACATCCCCCCTCCCCTCATGCACAATCTGGGATTGTGGTGGGCCACTGAGCATGTAGCCTTTCTTGTCTGGAGCTGCCAACTTTCACACTGTAAATAAGCTCCCTGACTTTCACAATAAGCCAAAAATCAAGCTAAAACTGTTCAAAGCAAGGCCAAGATAAGCCAGTCCCTAAAAGAACCCCGACACTCTAATGTGATCACATCCCCCCTCCCCTCATGCACAATCTGGGATTGTGGTGGGCCACTGAGCAT